CTGGAGGAGAGCGGTGTGTGCAGAGCTAGAACTCAGCTGAGCAGTGTGAAAACTGCATAACTCAGAGTGGCATTAAACATTGTAAGTAAATATTCAACTGTCGACGTTGTGTGTGTCCGGTCCTTGTGTCACACTGCAAAATGGGCACAACACATCAGATACTCAACTGGTTGTATTTTGTGTGTCATTTTGCTATTAAAATTTCTGTCCTGTAAAGCAGCGGTCCCCAACCTTTTTTGCGCCACGGACCGGTTTATGCCCGAAAATATTTTCACGGACCGGCCTTTAAGGTGTCGCGGATAAATACAACAAAATAAAACTAGTACCGGTACCGAAAAAAAGAAGATTTATTCATAACACACGTGAAAAGACCAAGGAAAACCGAGTTAACGATAAAAACGAGCATTGTGCATGGTATTCCACATATCCATATGTCTTTTTTATCTTTAAAGCTATTGTTGGAACTACACCACACTGTGGGTAGCTGTTGATATTTACAAATTAAATGTGCATTATTTAAGTGGTATATTTAAAGTTTTGAGAAATATTAGTAAATTGGTCAGTACATTTGAATGTCTAACCAGACTGTGAGATACTGTGTAAAACTGTGTACAGCCAACATTATTTTAACATTTAAATCCTACATATAACAGTGTCATATCATTTATAAACAATTGCTTGCTAGCATAGATTTTGCTTTAAGTGACTGAATATCAATGATTTTCTATGTGTCTTATCATTACTCTGCTGCTAGCTGCTGCCTGTGTAGAAAGCCCTTAACCGGGATACCTTTAATTCTAGGCATCCTGGATTTCAGTTAAAATGCTTCTTACTAAAATATTTATATTTTAGTTTTTTAGTTTTTTTTTTTCTTTGAATGGATCTCCAGTTTTTTTATGTAAACAAAAAAGTATTTTATTTATTAATTTATTGTTTCATTTATATTGGACATTTAAAATCAAAGTGCTTTACAATAAAAAAATAACATAAAGTAAACAATAAAAAATAGTAATCAGAACAAAATTGCAGGTGAGTTTTAAAGCAAAATATACAGAGCTGAAAAATTCTTTATAAATTTACAATCAAATATAAATAAATATTCTTTCCATCTTGAATGTCTCCCGACATCAAGGTGTAATAAAAAAAATCTGAAAAAATAGAATTCAGAAGACAGCATAATCCTGACAAAGTTTTCATGCGATAGTCAAGCAAGATGCATATTAAAGTTCAGGAATTATATAGCAAGCTCCCATTGAATGCTTCCAATAGGCATTCTACAAGTATTCACCTAAAATGACTTATATGGGTTCAAATACTGTAAATTTGAGTTGAAATGCAATTCATTTTGCAATTTTGTATAAAAATTAAATGTCTTAACAGCCATATAATCCCAAGCATGTGATATGTCATGCAAAAACCAGAATGGAACATGTGGGGGAAAAATGTTTTTGGAAGTCAAACCCACATGTAGAAGAGAGGCAAAAGGAAAAGGAACAGACTTTAAGATGAGGAGAGG